CTGTTAGAGAAATGACACAACTTTACACCTCTGCTTGCGCTGTGAAGACACAGTAGCACTGACAGAAACTGAAATCGGGAGCAGATGCTCTCTTCCATACCAGGACAAGGAGATTCTTGGGGAAATAAGCTTTCTTGCTCTGGGAGTGGCACATTTGACGCTGAATTAACAGCAGCAAAGGCAAGTTGCTTGCTTTCATTTATTCAAAAAGATTGTACCAAGTAGTTTTAAGTAGATGACAACTTTTTATCTTTGTTACTTTCTGGTTAGAGGGATGCAATTCACTAAGGGGCAAGATGGCACTAAATACCAGTTTGTACAATGTGCCTGTCCTCAGAGTGCATTTCATGATTTCATCCCATCATCAGCGCTCTTTACGGTTTGATTTTAGTCCCGATGTGGCACACATAAAATAACCAAGAATTTCATCAACGGCAGCTCAAAAGACTTTCTGTATGTAAGGCCACCCCTTCCACAGACAGCAGCCATGTTCTTTGGAGAACTTTATTAAAATATATCCAAGAAGTAATCAAACATTTCTAACGAGGCAGGAGAGAAGTGAAGTGAGAAAAACAGCTGTACAGAGGACAGTGCTGGAAGGTTTTGTTTACATGCTTTATTTCAATGTTTCACAGTTTAGTCATTGTCTACAAAAATATATTTCTGAATCTCTGAATCCTCTATAAAAAAAGCTGGTCAGCAGCAGTGACCCTGACAAAACAGAATGTACCTTAGGACAGCGTGAGCACCTCCTGTAAGCAGATTAGTGCAGCTAGGACACTCCTGCCTCACCCTGGCAGACTTCTGTTCTTTGGGATTAAAGCTCTGCACTAGTTCTGAAAGAAGGCGTTAAGAGAAAACAAAATAAACGTCAATCCTTCCACTTCTGTAACCTGCAACAGCTTGGGAAGGGAGCTGCAAGTCCGAGTGTCACACAGGGGAGAGTAGACACTGGACTGGGCACTCAGGGGATGGAGAAGACCACAGAGTACTTAAGTACTGGAAAATATTTTTTTTTGAGCTATCTGTTCAGAATAGCCTTTGTCTGGTAATAACATGTTCAGTCTATAAGCAGAGGTACAAATGGTGTATAAGCAGAGTAATCCTATAGGCACAAAGAGAGCCCTTCTTTGAGGTCATGATAAGGGTTCTGTTCATTTTTACCTCAGTATTTGCTGCTGCGGCTTTAATTAGGGGGAAAATTGCCTTCATATTCAAGGACAAGCCTACAGAGCGTTGGCTAGAACAGATCCACTATCAATGCTGTCACCTTCAACTCCTTAGTACCCATAGCTGGAAATATTTCTTATTACATCAGTCAACTCCCACTAGGGCATTACTAGTCACCAGTACATCTAGGCACCAAAAGAAAGAACCGAGAAACGCAGGTGTCCCCCATATGAGATCTTTCCACTCTTCCTCTGCTCAGTTGATTGGTCTGTAGAGATATTTGCAGTTAAGAAGAGGAAAAAGAAATAAATTGCTGCCTCTTTTAAACAAATCTATCTTGCATTGTGCTCCAGAAGAGACAAGGTCAATGTATTCCGATTCTCTGTAGTCACAAAGCTCGTAACTAGAAGCCCCTTACCACAGAATAATCTCAGACCTGAACCTCTAAGCAGGGCAGGAATTTTCAGCAGCAAATAATGAAAGAGTAGTTACTGACAGACTGTGGTAATACACAGAGGATGAGCTCTCAGGCCCCAAAAACTTTTTCCCATCTGCCTGTCAGAAGAACAGCTTTCTGAGCTAGTAGCTTGTAAAACTTAGATTTCCTAGAGGTTAGAGAACTCAGGAAGGTGCTGCTGGTTATCTTCCACTGCTCCCAGTCTTATCTGCTAAACCTGAGCTGCCAAGGAGGTATATGTATTTTAAGTAGAATCAGCATCATCCGTGAAAATACAGAAGTGAAGAACCTTCACCAAGACAAACACCTTATCAAAAAAGACACTCAGCACTAGAGAACTAATATCATCTCACTAATGCTAAACAGTTAAAGTGTAAAATCTGTAAGAAAACACCTGAAGTTTACTTCTTCATTTTCCTTTCTTGAATTGCTGAGGTGTGAGGGGTTGGAGGAGAAAGGAATTAATCACTACACTGCATCAGTAGCAAGCCATTATATGAAGGCAGTATTGGAGAAAAATTAAAAACCAGGAAAAAAACCCCAAAACCCTGAAAACTTAAGTGACTGTGAAAGCTTTCCTCAGCTTCCCAAACAGCCCAACCAGAGGATCGTGTCCACACCTCAAGCTGCATTTCCAGTCTGTTCCCAGCTGTTCAGCTTCCAGGCACAGACACACAACAGGGAAGGATCAAGGGAGGCAGACCAACCCACACACAGGGAATGCCTCCCACATAGCACCGACTTCAGTAGGCCCACACAACATGAACAAATCCTTCGGGAATCGTTACATGTTGTGCATAGAAAGGCTGTAGCTAAAGTGTAACAAGGTAAAATTAAAGGAAGATGTGGAATTAGGGAAAACCTTCTCCTGTGGAACCCGTTTTGCTCCATCTCCCTCAAGGAAGCAATTCATACTCAATCATTTGGAAAATGGGAAAATACTTGACAGCAACAATCCTGCCTTGGCTTTAGGTGACAAGCCAAGAGGGTTCTTTCTCCTTTAGTATCCCAAAGCTTACTCATGTAAAAAAAAACCAAACCAAAAAACAAAAAACAACAAAACCAAAAACCAAACCCCAAAAAACCCCACACTGTCCTGCCCTGCCCGCTGTTGGAGATGCACTTTAGGAGTATATGGTGGCAGAGCTGGAGTAATTTGCTCAACCAGTGAAAGCTGCCTTCTCCATCACCATCATCCAGCACAGGGACAAGTGCTACGTTACTTCTAGTTGAAGCACAAAGCTTAGAATTCTAACATGATAGATACCTTGTGGCTAAACACCACCATCAGACTGAGGTACGTGTGTGTGAAGAACAAGCAACTGCAGCTGCAAGTTACTGCTACTTGCTGTCTTCCAGGGCAAGTTTTTTCCACTTCTGGATTCTCTTGCCTTCTCTGAGTTACAGAGACTCCAGGGTGAACTACTCTGAAGCCTCACAAACACAGTGGTCACCACAACACATTTGATGACAGTTTAATCCCTTCCAAATTATTTACAGGGCTAGCTTTGAGACTGTTACTTTTAACCTCAGGCCTGGTACTGCATAGACTGAACTTTGTATGGTCAAGAATGAGCAATGCCTGTTCTCACAGGAAACCTTAATTAAAACAAGCAAAGTAACACACAGAGCTGAGCCTAGGCTGCATTCTACCAACGATAAAATAAAGACAATAGTCACAACTTCTCCAATTCACTAGTATTTTTCTAGTATTCCCCATGGCTACACTTGAGCGGTTC